GTACAGCCTATGACAGCTACAAACACTACATAAATTAAGGTGCGTACAGCCTATGACAGCTACAAACACTTCATAAATTAAGGTGCGTACAGCCTATGACAGCTACAAACACTTCATAAATTAAGGTGCGTACAGCCTATGACAGCTACAAACACTTCATAAATTAAGGTGCGTACAGCCTATGACAGCTACAAACACTTCATAAATTAAGGTGCGTACAGCCTATGACAGCTACAAAACACTTCATAAATTAAGGTGCGTACAGCCTATGACAGCTACAAACACTTCATAAATTAAGGTGCGTACAGCCTATGACAGCTACAAACACTTTATAAATTAAGGTGCGTACAGCCTATGACAGCTACAAACACTTCATAAATTAAGGTGCGTATAGCCTATGACAGCTACAAACACTTCATAAATTAAGGTGCGTACAGCCTATGACAGCTACAAACACATCATAAATTAAGGTGCGTACAGCCTATGACAGCTACAAACACTTCATAAATTAAGGTGCGTACAGCCTATGACAGCTACAAACACTACATAAATTAAGGTGCGTACAGCCTATGACAGCTACAAACACTTCATAAATTAAGGTGCGTACAGCCTATGACAGCTACAAACACTTCATAAATTAAGGTGCGTACAGCCTATGACAGCTACAAACACTTCATAAATTAAGGTGCGTACAGCCTATGACAGCTACAAACACTTCATAAATTAAGGTGCGTACAGCCTATGACAGCTACAAACACTTCATAAATTAAGGTGCGTATAGCCTATGACAGCTACAACACTTCATAAATTAAGGTGCGTACAGCCTATGACAGCTACAAACACTTCATAAATTAAGGTGCGTACAGCCTATGACAGCTACAAACACTTCATAAATTAAGGTGCGTATAGCCTATGACAGCTACAAACACTTCATAAATTAAGGTGCGTACAGCCTATGACAGCTACAAACACTTCATAAATTAAGGTGCGTACAGCCTATGACAGCTACAAACACTTCATAAATTAAGGTGCGTACAGCCTATGACAGCTACAAACACTACATAAATCTGTCGTCCTCCGGGTAATCTGAGAAAAAAGAAGAAAAATTAACTTGGTGTTATTATATCATTTTTACCTGTTGGTATAAAACTCACTGACGGCATCGAAAAATCTGATGAAATTTTTGTCCAACAGGGTAATACATAGAAAAAAAATTCCCTACTGACTGTGAATCTCTGCGCCAAAAAAAAAAAAAAGAATTTTATATTCTTAATTTTCAAAGAATTTTTTCATTATATGATATATATTTTTTGGGGCAGATTATCCAGAAAGCTGAATATTTAAAGTTAATATTTATCCGCATTTTGACTATGGCATGAATTTTTTATAAACAGTTTTGTGAAGTGTTTTATGAGTTATTAATTAAAATCCGTAACTTTATGTACACTGCACTAGCCAAGGACTCGAACCCATGTTGTACTGGCCCGCCTCATGGTGAGCTAGAACCACATGACGCTTTAACCCACAGGACCATCCATTCCACCCAGTAGGTGTTCCTGTGGGTTAAGGCGTCATGTGGTTCTAGTTTACCATGAGGCGGGCCAGTGCAACATGGGTTCGAGTCCTCGGCTAGTGCAGTGTTGTTATTGATCAATACTACTGGTTACAATTTATATATATATATATATATATAATATATATATATATATATATATATATATATATATATATATATATATATATATATATATATATATTTCTTCTTTCAACGTACCAGCCGTATCCCACTGAGGTGGGGTGGCCCAAAAGAAAAAACTGAAGTTTCTCCTTTTAAATTTAGTAATATATACAGGAGAAGGGGTTACTAGCCCCTTGCTCCCGGCATTTTAGTCGCCTCTTACGACACGCATGGCTTACAGAGGAAGAATTCTGTTCCACTTCCCCATGGAGATAAGAGGAAATAAACAAGAACAAGAATTAGAAAGAAAATAGAAGAAAACCCAGAGGGGTGTGTATATATATGCTTGTACATGTATGTGTAGTGTGACCTAAGTGTAAGTAGAAGTAGCAAGACTTACCTGTAATCTTGCATATTTATGAGACAGACAAAAGACACCAGCAATCCTACCATCATGTTAAACGATTACAGGCTTTCGTTTTACACTCACTTGGCAGGACGGTAGTACCTCCCTGGGCGGTTGCTGTCTACCAACCTACTACCTACATATATATATATATATATATATATATATATATATATATATATATATATATATATATATATTTTAATATATATATGTCGTGCCGAATATGTAAAACTGGTCAATTAGCAAGAACTCATATAAAATTAAGTTCTTTCTAAAAAAAATTTCTTATACGTTTAAAGATATATTTTTTTCATTAATCATAATGTAAAAATTTTAATTTTGCTCCAAAAGAATCTTAGAAAACTTACCTAACCTTATTATAACAAGAACAATTTATTTTAGCCTAACCCAACTAAATATATTTTAGATTTGTTTACAATAATTTAATACTAAACAAACGCAGTGAAATATATTTTTTCGTTAGGTTCGGAATGATTTTGGCGAAATTATTGCATACACAAATTTTCACTTGTCCTATATGGCAAGATGAGCGTTGCTATTTAAGCCAAGATGGCAAGTTCTGCCTATTCGGCACGACATATATATATATATATATATATATATATATATATATATATATATATATATATATATATATATATATATATATATATATATGCCGTGCCGAATAGGTAAAACTTGCTATTTTAGCTTAAATAGCAACGTTCTTCGTGCCCGAATGAAGCACGCGATAATTTGTATATGCAATAATTTCGCAAAAATAATTTTGAACCTAACGAAAAAAGTATATTTCATTGTGCTTGTTTATTATTAAATTATTACAAACTTATCTAAATTATATTTAATTGGATTAGGCTAAATTAAATTGCGCTTGTTATAATAAGGTTAGGCAAGTTTTCTAATGCTCTTTTGGTACAAAATTATTAAATTTTACATTAACATAAATTAAAGAAATATATCCTTAAACGTATAAGAGAAAATTTTAGAAAGAACTTAATTTTAATGAGTTCGAGTACGAGGAAGGTAACTTATATGAAGAGATTCAGGAAAACTGGTTAGTCGGACTTGAGTCCTGGAGGTGAGAGATGTAGTGTCTGCTCTCTGAAGGAAGTATGTGAATATCGCAGTTTGAACTTGAAATTTCGGCGTGCTTCTGGCAAGACGGTGATGGTATGAATGACGGTGAAAGCGTTTCTTCTTTTACATGTCGCCTTACCTTGGTGGAAGACGACTGGTTTGTAAAAAAAAAAGTAGAAGAACGATTAAACATTTTACACCCATTTTGGAGAGATTAGCTAAATAGCAGGAAAAATAAACAGAACAGTCAACTGCCTTAATGCCACTGAATAGATTTTTGTAAGCAATTTGATAAAGCCGCTTACGAGATATTTAAACTCCAGCACCCCCTCCCCTTTCCTAGGTAAATTAAAAAAATTAAGCTTAGCTCCAGCTTTTCTCTGATAATCTTTTATAATTGCGAGTATCCAGCACATACTCTCGGTTTGGTGAATAAGCATTGAGAATTTCAGCCATTTAGTCCTCTGAATAAATAACAAAAAGGCACAATACCGTGACTGGAACAATACACAAATAACCCGCACATAAAAGAGAGAAGCTTACGACGACGTTTCGGTCCGACTTGGACCATTGCAAAGTGACTTTGTCAATGGTCCAAGTCGGACCGAAACGTCGTCGTAAGCTTCTCTCTTTTATGTGCGGGTTATTTGTGTATTTAGTCCTCTGGTCAAGGATGGGAGAAAAAAGTGTGACCTGTAAGGCATTTGTCACTGATTTCAAAATTAATATTTTAAAAAATAAATAGTAAGAGAGGTTTAATCCCGTGGTCCGTTTGCAAAAAATTTTTTGCATTACTGACACCAATGCAGACTGTATAGCACAGCATATTAATACTGTAATATTATTACAAACGATAGAATATATTATATATAGGACCAGTGATATTTTTTTATTAAAAAATTAGTTAATTATATATGCCTTGAAAAGGACAGTTTAGAACAGCCATAAGCTACTGGTTGGGTGGGCTAGTACTTGTTAAAAACCTGTGTCTCTAAAGTGGCAGCAGTGACAGGCATTAACCTCCTCCGTGGTAAACATTTCCAGAGAAAGAGAGTCAGAAGGTGGTCTAATTAATGTCGAGCAACCGGCCATCTTCACCTGTCTGCATATGCTGTAATTATCAAGATTGATGGACTAATTGACTCCAGGCTGAGGGACTGATCACTTCAATCTTCTCCCGATCTTCACTATTCTTTTTTTTGTATAAAACTGATGAAGTCACTGTGTGGCGCCGGTTCTCTGAACCATTTATCTACATCTCCTTGACCTCTGACCCCCTAATCCGTGACCCTATTTCACCTTAGACCATACAGATTGGTAATTTACGAATGTTTCCACGCAGTGCCTTCATCTCCTTAAGTAAATGCATAGGATTGAGTATCTTAGTCTCAGCCTGGACAATAATCAACGACGATGTAATCGTCCTTACTGAGGAATGCATCGACCCTCGCCGGAGTCGATTAATCAGTCCCTAGCTGGAGGAGAATGACTGATCGAAAAGTCTGAGAGTGAGTAATCAGTCCCTCAGCCTGGAGTCGATGTAATCAATCCCTCAGCCTGGAGTCGATGTAATCAGTCCCTTAGCCTGGAGTCGATGTAATCAGACCCTCAGCCTGGAGTCGATGTAATCAGTCCCTCAGCCAGGAGTCGATGTAATCAGTCCCTCAGCCTGGAGTCGACATAATCAGTCTCTCAGCCTGGAGTCAACATAATCAGTCCGTCAATATAGATTCTTAAGTGTTACATATATGTCTAATTTATCGACATGTCGGTTCTCTAAACCACCTGTCTACATAGGTTGTCGTTCTTCGGTAGTTACGGCCGGGAAGCGAGCGGAGTGGCAGCCTCGCAGGACGAAGGGCGCCCTTGAGACACACAGGTTTAATACAGGTAAGTTGCCATGCGTTAAATAATTGTATACCATTCTAGATTATATTAAAAATCTCCTTTAAACGGAAGGTGACTTTGATGTTGGAGAAGAGTTCTTGCTCCGAGGAACTGGAGTTAATCTTCCCTTGAAGGTAGATTTTATGATAAGACAGCCATGCGAGTGAAGAACAAACGAACGCACGGGCATACATAGCTCGCAAACAGGAGATAAATTATTACGACGTTTCGGTCCGATTTGGATCGAAATGTAGCCATAAGTTTTTTTGTTATGTGCAGGTTATTTGTGTATTGTTCCAGTATTGTGCCTTTTTATTAATATTAATATTGTTCCAATATAGTGACTTTTTATTAATATTAATGATATTGTTCCAGTATAGTGCCTTTTTATTAATAATAATAATAATAATAATAATAATAATAATAATAACAATAACAATAACAATAATAATAATAATAATAATAATAATAATAAGAATGGTAACATAACATTAATAAAATTAATTAAGACATATTGATAAAAATAATACAAATTTAGAAGAGCAATAATAATAATAATAATAATAATAATAATCAATAATCATAATCATAAACATAATGTATAACAGCACTAACACTAGCCCATGTGCCACTGCTTAATAACTCGCTTAAGTGACAAGTCTGATTCCTGTTATTTTTACGTTACTTTTTCCGCGCGATACCTGCTGTTAGCCTGACCACTCACGTCCCAGGTCCTTCAAAACTTGTGACATTCAAAGCTCATCTGAACAGTCTTTATGTCATTCATCCCAGAGTGTTTTTTTTTTTTTTTTTTTTTTTTTTTGCGTTCCGTACGTTCACTCCCCTTTCCACTCTCGGGAAATTGCTGTTTCTCTTTTGACTCTCTCTAATTGGCTGGAGATGCAAACGAGACTGGTGAGTTACTTAATAGTCGTAAAGGTTTATGGACAAGTGCAGTTGTTTGGAATTAGTGGAGAAAATTGCTGTTCTGAGGAGTGGTTTGATGCGTCTGTTCTGTGAGCTAAGTTAAGTGTGCTCGCTTGTGTTTTATTCTCTCCAAGTGAGTCGCTTGTTGTCTAAAACGAGCCCCTAGGGGAAGAGGGGGGGGGGTAATGATGGTTAGAGAGAGAGAGAGAGAGGAGAGAGAGAGAGAGAGAAGATTCATATTTACACTCAGTGGCCTCGTAATGAAGGATGGATGTAGGTGCTAAGGATTCAAGCGGATTCCCATTGAAGAATCTTTTCCCGAAACCACATGAACCTCCTGCGGCCCATCCTGGGATGCTCTCACCATCGTCCTTCAAGGATGAAGTCCTCACCAGAATGTGAGACACCAACAGTTCCTCAGGCTCCAGTAAACTACTAAAACTCAAGACTCACAAAATCGTAATGACACGATTGCAAACAAACCATACCACGGGCGGGGTTAGAACCCGCGATCAGAGAGTCATAAAACTCCAGACCGACGCGCTAGCCACTGGGCGAATCTTATTGTAACCAAGTTGATCCAGTGGTTACAGTGGCTAGCGCGTGGGTCTGGAATTTTATGACTCTGATCGCGGGTTCTAACCTTGCCCGTGGTCTATTTTACTAAAACTCAGGTCTCATCCCCTCAATATGTGTAAATATTAGTAAATTAATGTAACATCTAACTTCAGTAAGTTCAGTATGTGCAGAAAAACCCCAACAAAAACAAAAGTTAACTGAAATACAGACGAAGGCATATATTTTATTTGAAGTCATATTTGTCAGAAATATATACTAGATGGCGTCACTGCGGTCCTTTCCAGATTATCTTTCATATAAGATAATACTGAAGAATAAGAAGACACAATTCCGTGTCACAGATAACTCGCACATATTAAGAAGCTTAGGGTGACGTTTCGGACTGACTTGGGCCATGGCCCAAGTTGGACCGAAACGTCGTCCTAAGCTTCTCCCTCCTATGTTTTTATTATTTGTGTATAGAAACCATTGATAGTTTTTTTCACAGTACATAATCCCATAATCTCATTTCTATTCTCTGTTTTATGCTAAGTAATGGCATTTCAGATCAACCTATCTATTCTTACTAGTAAATATAGTTGCCAGGAATATTAGCTTCTCCTTCATACTAGAAAATATGTCTCTAGACCATACTAGCAAATGTTGTAAAGAAGATAACGTCGCTTCACGTTATACTAGCAAAATCTTTCCACTAAACTAGCTTCTGATTTATGTCCTTTCAGACCATACTAACTTTTGCTTTATTACTAGAAAATATATCTCTAGATGATACTAGCATCTATTGTATATACTATAAGAACATAAGAAAGGAGGAACACTGCAGTAGGCCTGTTGGCCCATACTTGGCAGGTCCTTTACAATACCAAGCCACTAA